TTATATTTTCCCAATTCCAAATTACGAATCAAAAGTTATTGCAAAAACAAAAACTACCAAAAATTGGACGAAATTGGCCTAATGTGTCAAGGGTCAGCGTGGCGGGCCAGTTTTGGAGTGACGGATTCGTGCTTTCAGTGCAACACGTTAAACACTGGCGCATCGCGCGCAGATGCTGACGTGGCACGCCAACCCTTTTTAGCTCGTGCCAGCGTTTCTTCCGTTTTTAACCCATTTCAGCATCGTGGTCTATAAATATGAGACCTTTTTGGAGGTTTCTAGGAGGCGAACATTCACGAAACAGACACAATATGTACCAAAACTGATCAATTCATCATACAAATAAGTTTTTTTCACTCCTAATACTCTCAATCATTATTATTTTTTCAAGCAATTCACGAAACCTTTGCAATACTTGGAGTTATACTTTTAAAACTAGGCGTAGAATGTTGAAATATCTGAGGGTTGATAAATTATTATTCTATTTTAATCAGTATTGCATTTTTATTCAATTTAATCTATATTGTCTTGAAGTTACTCACATTTTATTTGTGACATAGCAATTAAGAGGAATGTGCGTAAAATGTAAGTAATTAGTTTAATTGCTTACTTTTTATTTATTTTTCTATTATCATGTTTAGGTTGTCTTTAATTATTATTATTATCATGCTTGAATAATTTAATTTGTGATATTAATATTTATTATATTGCTTCCAATATTTATGTTGTATGATTTTATTTTGATCACCTTTTGCATGTTTAATCAAGAATAAGTAATTGAAAATCACGCTTAATAATAAGATAATTTAGACAACCAGATTAGGTACCTTTAATCTTTTTTTGTTTTTTTTTTTTTTTTTGAAGAAACCTTTAATCTTATTATTTAATTCAAGTGATCACAATATTTAGAATTATATGTGAATTAATATTCAACCAACTAAGTAACATTAGTTTGGAGCGAATTGAATATTTGTATGTATGTTGATTGAATGCAAAACAATGAATGTCACAATTAGAATTGAGTAGAGGCCAATATGGGCGGAGTTGACTTCTTAACTCATTTTGGTACTTCATCTCCGAATATCCATTTATGGTTCGCAAATACTATGGAGTTAGAAATCTCATAGATTATGAATGGGGTGTAACTTTTATATTCTATAAATGATTTACAAGTTCCTAAGAAAATATGTAGGCGGCACCCTCCTTCCATCCTTCGGCATAGTAGTTGAATCTCACTTCCTACAATAGCTAGGCATATTCATAACATTCCTACACAGGCGCACTTCGTGCGATGCCTACAAAAGGCATGCAGAACCACTAAAGAAGCAGCGTGAGGTCGACTTAGTGATGACAACTCTGCCGGTGATGACAGATTAGATTGATGAAAAGGTTAGCCGCTAGGGAGCTGAGCAAGGGAAGTAGTTGGATAAGAAGAGAGCAAGAGACTTAAAGAAAGAATTTGTAAAGAGTAATTTTGCTAGTAGATAGGAGTGCTGGTGTTTATGCACATAAGATTTAATATAAAGTATAAATTATGAAAAATTATTGTATTTTTTCCAATTTTGGCCGAATTATCTTTATTAATCTCAACATTTGATTATCTTTTAATAATTTGAACTTTAGCGATTTTTTCATTTATTGGTTCTAGATAACTGATGATGATGACCTGATGTACGAGTAAATTATTTTATCATAGTATAAATTTGAACTTTAGGGATTATTTTCATTTATTGTTTTCATTCATTTGAACAGAATTCCCTACCTTGTCCCCTTATTCGCAAAGCCCCTTCCACTTTTCTCCCTTTCCAATAGCCCCTTACCCTTTCTTTTTTTCTGTCCGGCTACCCCTTTCCCTTTCCATACCCTTTGTTTCACTATAATTTCAGTGGTATGGGGATAAAAAAAGGCCGGGTGGTTTTGGCATGTTAGAATTTAGGTGAGTGGAAGTAGTGGTGGGATAAAATTTGAAGTATTATTGCATGGGGATAGCTTACATTTGCATGACCAAGTGCTAGTATATATAGTGGTGTAGGTCGGTTTACATGCTCCTTCACCGACATACTACTCTACTCCTATCTACTAGCTTTCTCTAGATTTCTCTTAAGACACTAGGCTATTCTAGAAATATCTAGCTAATTGTAGATTTTACTAATTAGATTTTTCTAGATTACATTTTTAACACTCCCCCTTAATCTGAAAAATCTTGTACTCTAAACTATACGTCGTCTTCTCAAAATATTCTTTCGGTTTTGTTGATGCTCTTGTCACCAACGGCCTCTGATGTTGTCTCTTCTTGTTGTCACCGAAAACTTCTAATCTTGACTTTTCTTCTTGTCATTGTGTTGGTACTCATGTTACCAACCTTAATTTTGTTGTTTAATTTTGGTACTCGTGTTACCATCTTTCTAACTGATCTGATGCTCATGTCACCAGAGATCTCCTAAATTCTCCTTTCGAATATATCTCCTTTATTTTTCCTTTTAATTTTGGTGCTCATGTCACCAAATATTTCTGCTAATGCACTTGTCATTAGAAACCTCTTATTTTCTTCTTCAAAACAAGCTTTCTTCATTATCTTCCTTGCCAAAATTGGCAATTTCCACATCAGCTTTCTTGAACCTGCAATTCTTTCCAACATGGCCGAACTTTTTGCATATCCAACATTGTGCTTTTCCTTTGAAGTAGCAATCTGCACTATCATGGTTAGTTCTCTTACAAATTTTACAAAATAATTTATTCTCCATACCTTTGTATTTTGGTGAATCTTCTTCATCTTCACCCTCGGCCTTCTTCATGGACCCATTTTTCTTGATTTCTCTTGGTTTAAGAGAAAATTTTGCTGCAAGCGCGGTCTCCATCATGTCTTCATCATTACTTTGACGATTTTTTCTTTGTTCGTGAGACTCCAGAGATCCCATAAGTTGTTCAACAGTTATGTTGGATAAATCTTTTGTTTCTTCAATTATTGTAACTATATTATCAAATTTGTCATTTAATGATACTAAAATTTTCTTCACAATTTTTTCATCCGAAATTTCTTCTCCATATGATTTCATTTGATTAACAATCTCGATAATTCTTGAAAAATAATCTTTAACCAACTCATTATCTTTCATCTTTAAATTTTCAAAATCTCTTCTTAAAGATTGAAGTTTGATACTTCTCACCTTGCTATCTCCCTGGAACTCTTGTTGTAGAATCTCCCATGCCTCCTTTGCTGAATTAGCCCTCATAATTCTTGGAAAAATGGTATCTTTCACTGCATTTTGTATAAGATATAATGCCTTTTCATCCTTCATCCTTTCCTCCTCAAGTCTCTTCCTTTGAGCATCACTTAGGCTGCTTTCATCTTCAGGTTCGTTATAGCCTTTGTCGGCATAACTCCATAGTCCATATGATCGTAACATTGTCTTCATTTTGATCTTCCAGAAATCATAAATTTCTCCCCCAAAAATTGGAATGGGAAAACTTACATTGTTATTGGCCATTATATATTATGTTGTGTTTGGGCTAATATGTGTATGATATTGTAGGAAGGCTTTGGGAATTTGTGGCTCTTGATACCAAATGTTAGAATTTAGGTGAGTGGAAGTAGTGGTGGGATAAAATTTGAAGTATTATTGCATGGGGATAGCTTACATTTGCATGACCAAGTGCTAGTATATATAGTGGTGTAGGTCGGTTTACATGCTCCTTCACCGACATACTACTCTACTCCTATCTACTAGCTTTCTCTAGATTTCTCTTAAGACACTAGGCTATTCTAGAAATATCTAGCTAATTGTAGATTTTACTAATTAGATTTTTCTAGATTACATTTTTAACATGGCAGTGGTGGTTTCGGTAACAAGAGGTAGTCCCAGTGGTGGGGGAAGGGAAAGGGCCGGGTAATGGGTGACCGATGCTGGTGGTTAGGAAAATGAAGAGTTTGAGTTTAGTTTTTTTTTCAATTAGGTGTTGACACATGTCATGTCCATGTCACCATACTATAATAGGTTAGTGACCTATTGTGTACAATAAAATAAAATATCTCTTTAATGCAGAGTTAAAAATATAATTTAAATTTTAGATTTATTAAAATAAATCGGACAAAGTTTTGATAAATAAAAGTAATGTTATGTGTGTATGTGTGTGTGTTGCATTGGTCCTTTACATATGGATCAAATCCATTAATCAAAATTTAATTGATAAATAAGAATGCTCGTTTGACTGGCCTGGAAGTCTTGGAACTAGAGATGGCGATTGATCCTAGACTCGATTCAGATAGATTTGTATTCATTTTATAGAAACTAGATCCTTCGAATTTATCTTACTTTTGAGATTTGAATACGGTCCAAATCCAACATGTGGACTCATTTTTAATAATAAATTAACTTTCCTTATAAAAACTAAAAAAGTATTCTGAGTGTTTCTCATGGGTTTATATTTATCAACTTTATTTTGTAAAAATAGTTAAGTGAAAGAGAGTATATGATCATTGAATAGTGTATAAGTCAAAATAATGCAATATTAAAAAATAGATGGAGTAAAATATAAAAGAACTAAGGTACTATTTTTATTTGTCAAATTTTTATTTATTAAAAATGTATTAAAAATAATATTTGTTTTTGAGACGAAAGGATTTGTCATATGAATGTTTTAAATTCTTACTTCTCTATGTATAAAAAAAAAAAATAGTTATAAGAGGCCTAGTTTAATTTGATTCATCTCGATAATTACATTATTAATATTTTATGTTTATAATTTTTAATAATGTGAAATTAAAGATATGTGCGATAAAAAATATACATTTACCTCTATTATATAAGCTAAGTAGGGAGAGAGAGTGAAAAATTGGTGTTCATAATATGAATTACCAACACGTGTATATAGTACTTGTAAATGTAAATGTGAAGATTAAAACAGATGGAGTATTAATATAAGAATGCATTTCAAAACTACGCATTAATCAGTGTAATCAGTGCTTATTTCAATTTAATTAATATATTATCACTTATATATATAGTCATTGAACGTTCTCGAGGCGTTCGTTAGCTTTTGTCTTATAATTTGATAACATGTGATTACAAGATTATGTACATATATAAGAAGAAAATATATTTTAGTGTATGGTACGTAACCACACTAAAGATACAAGATATATATAACAACACAGGCAACTTTGTAGTGTACATTATACATGGCTTATTGAAAACATAGAAATTCCACAACACATATATCGTGGAAGACCTTATTTATGCATACAAAGTACACGATAACTTCATATTAGTTGAAAGCTAGCTGAACGCCCATTATGGTAACAAAAGACATGAACAACACCTAGCAATCTTGATTGATTACTGAACATGAAAACGAATAAAAATAAAAGTATTAGTTGCATATAAATGCGTAATAAAACTAATAATAATATATTAGTGTTTTACGATAAATCATATTATTAGGCCTCAATTATAAGATTTTTCATTTTTCATTTTTTTTTGGAGATGGGCAACTCAACCACAAGATTAAGGTTGACCAGTTCAAAAGGTTAGTTAAAATTAGTGAACACTAGCTTAGTTTAAAAATATAAAGCCGATGACAATTTGGTACAAAATTTAGCTATTTATGCATACATGTTCAAATCTCATATACTCCTCAATTTAGGTGGAAATTTAGCACTTGGTAAAAATGGTCCATGTTGCATTCACATTTTAAGTCGAACGGGCTTTGAAGAAGGGGCATGATAACTTTTGTTGAGTTGTTACTTTAAATATAAATATTGTAATAGATTAATCAAGTACATGTTAAGTACATTGGTTTGCTATTTATGATCTTCCATATCATCTTAATTACTAAATTAGCTATTTGATATGGTTATGCACAATGTCGTATTTTCCATTTTTCCGTTCAAGTGAAGTAATTAAATTGAGTTCTCATCTTTGAAATACTATATCTGTTTTTTATATCGCAACGCACATTTTATAACTTAAATATCTTAAATTATGATATAGTAAATTTATTTAAAAAATTGATATTATGAAAATGTATATATTTGTTGCGTAATGCAACTAGGCAGCTAAGAGAACGGTGAGAATTTGCTTAGAAAAAAATAAAAACTCGTCACCCAACATAGGCTTTGGGCAACTAAAAAGTCGTCGTACATATGATTATGAATAATGGAATTTTGAGCAACAAAACATATTTTCATGACCCAAAACAATTAGGTCGACAAAACTGTTGTCATCTCAGTCTATACGCATGTATATTTTAAATTCAACTTTGAGGGTTGGAAAAATATATATATATATATATATATATATATATATATATATATATATATATATATATATATATATATATATATATATATATTGTGCAACAGATCTGTTTTGTCGCCCAAATATCATCTCGTGCAACAAAACTAAACTCGTAGCCGAAACAAACAAGGGCGTCGACTCTACTACGGGTTGAAAGTCGTTGCACAAGACTATGGGCAACGAAAATGGATTTTCGGGCGATGAAATTTTATGTTGCCCAAAATTATATTTCTTGTAGTGATTTCGGGACGAGTTGAAATTTTCAGTTGCCCAAAAAATTAATGAACAAGAATATAGTTTGTGAATTAATAGTGAAGAAACATTAATATAGTACCTGTTTGACATAGAGTCCAATAGACTCAACATAGTTCTTGTGTATGGTTCCAAAAAATCCAACAACGCGACCACCTGATGGTACTTGTGAGCGAAATTGAGACAAATAATTCGTGTACGGTCCACCTCCAAAAGGTCCGTAACCATCCATACGCATATTGGTATGTATCTTAAGCTTCGTCAAGCAACGATTTTCGTGCCATTCTCCAATCCACCCACTTACATTAGTTATAAATTCGCCAGATTGGAGTGTAATCTGTACATGAATTGAAGATAACTTTTCACATCTTAGTGGCTCATTATGCTAATAATAATAATAATAAGTCAATAACAAAAATAGCTGATAGAATACTTATTTAAATAAATCTATCATAGATGGCTTCAATCATCAACTTAAATTTTTGATAGATTTTTTTTTTCGATTTGAGATAACTTTTTACATACTCCCTCCATTTTTTTAAATGACACATTTTTCTTATTCGATCATTTTTAAGTGACACACTTACTCTTTTGAAAATCCCTAAATACTACCTCTGATTCGTATTATATACACCAAAGTTGCATATAATACAAACAGGTTGTATTATTTTTTTTTAATAATATATCTTTACCTACTAATGGGCCCCACTCTCGCTCTCTTATTTTATGGTTTCTCACTTCTCCCATGATCCCCACTTCCTTTTACACCACTTTGCTTTTCAATAAAATAATAATTCTACTATTTGTTCTTATAATTTTTATTACCGTATTTACTCCACTTTTATCTTATTTTATTATAGTCAATAAAATCCCTAAAACTCTGTACCGGTCAAATTGTGTCATTTAAAAAAAACCAGTGCGAGTAATAAATTAGTGGTTCATTAAGCTAATAATAATACGTCAATAGAAACAAACTGAATAGAGCATCGGAGGAGGTTGTGACCTTGTGTTCAGCATTTCCACCATCACCGCCGAACTTTCGACGAGTGTTTGTTGTGACAAACGTGAATGCATCAACAATTGCGCCAGTCTTTATGATTATCTCTCTGAAATTTTCACAGGGTTCAAGCATTATAGACCATTGTTGCCCTGTCTGATAGCCAAAAGGCCCGAGTTTCTCGACGGTCTGACTTTGCTGCAATCATTGTAATAAATACCTATTTTATTAATTAATTACACAAAGAAAAAGAATTTTTTTTTTTTTTGTGATTGTTCAATATTGAAATTGTTATTTGAAAGTGTTACATTACTTTATACAGCAAAGATGTTACCTTGTCAACACAGGATCCATGATTTCCCTGATTTTAAGTACTTAACCCTTACAATACCACATATACTACTATTGTAGTATTTGTTAGAAATGACCTTTTATGTTGTCTATTTTGTAAGAAAGGAAAGAAAATTAGCAAAAGAGACCTTATAAGCGATTTGTGGTCGTGAGTTAGGACCTTACCTGAGTTGACCACCGAAGTTCGGTGTTGATTGACACGTGATATTATAAAAGACTCCGCTACCTTTAATTTCTCGATTTGCTAGCAGAAAAATTGCTCAATTAAGGTTTTAATGCTAATTTTGACACTTTACGTCTAATTTACGCTCAAATAAAATTGGTAAAAAAATTACAAGAAATGTCTCATGTTGTATGTCAAAAAATCACATTTTGCGTGCCTTTTTGGGCCTTAATGACCTAGTTTAAGGTCAAATTTTGAAAAAAAATTACTAGAAATATCTAGGTTTGCCTGTTGCTATTTTCAAGCAGTGAAAATTGTTTGGTTAAAGTTTTGAGGTCATCATGGCACTTGGAAAAAAAAAATTACATGAAATGCATTCGTTTGCATACATATGTAATGACTAGATACAAGATCAAGCTAGATGTTTATGATACTTTCTCCATTCTCTTTTATTTGCAGCGTTCCGATTTTAACATTTGTCAATGCATTATTTCAAATCTTTATATATTTCTAATTACAGATAAGTAAAAAATATAAAAATTTGATAATGTGAAAATGTAAATCGAGACGGACCTAACAGAATCTCACATGAGTTTATTTAGCCCACTGCATAAATCAATAAAAATGATTAAATATGACATGAATAGTACCATTTTCCAAATGCTGCAGCTAAAACCAACTCTTAAAACGAGACATTGGAAGGGTATCTTTTTTTAATATCACATACATGCCTAACATATATAATGGCTAATGCCAAAATACGGTCTTCAACAACCGAAACATATATAGAGTAAGGTCCCAACTCACAATCTAATACCGATATAAGTTCCTTTTTTACTACGTATTAAAAGGTATTTTCTAATAGATTTTCCTTTGAATTAATAGCTCAACAACTATGAGTAATTCAATTTCGATCATAATATATTGAAGAGAAATGCATCGCGATGATCTATATGATTTCAATGCATGACATAGTAAAACGTTTCTTCTACCAAACAAGCTAAGATCTCTTAATTTTCTGCATTTCTGAAAGACTGTTTGAGTGAAACGTAGACATTACCTTTTCAACATAGAGACCAATGGAAACAAGGTTGTCATGAGCAGTTCCAAAGAATCCAACGAAACGGTCATTTTCAGGTAATGGCATTGGAGACTTAAATTCACAGCCGCCTTTGAGTTCATTATTTCCATACGGCCCGTGTCCACGCTGGTTCAAATTAGTATGTATCCTCAGTTTCGATATTAATGAATCTTTGGTCCTCCCACTTATCCCAGTTATGTATTCACCAATCTTGAGCTTAATCTATATGACACAAATCAATTAAAATTATGATTACGATTATGATTATGATCGAAAGGAAGCTAATTAAACCAAAGTCTAAAAATAAAAAATTCGCGATAGGTATACTTTTCTATTCCAAAGTAGATAACAAATATCATTTATCACGTTAGCTAATGCATAAATTCAAATGTAAATATCTATAATTACCAATAAGTAAAAATTATTAAAAATTAATATTTTAAAAATACACATTAAGAGAATTTCAACAAGATCTAATATGACTATGTTTTTTTTTTTTTTTTTTTAATTTATATAAATAAAAATTTCAACATAAAATTTGTAATTAATGTTAAAAATTAATGTGTCATTTATTTTGAAACGGAAGAACTATATATAAGACCTTGTATTCAAGTCCGCCATTGCCACCAAACATGGAAGTATCACTACTCCCGTTGTAGCTAGTCACGGTGAGCCCGATTGCATCCACAATGAAACCCGCCCTCACAATTATTTCTTTGATTCTATCAGATCCTTCGAGTTTGAACGAAAAGTTTTCTACGGCCTCTTTGTCACCATATGGTCCGTACCTCTACAACAATTTATAATATAATAAAAATTAAAATTCTGTATAATAATATAGCATGGAATACGTGCAAATGAATTATGACAGGATAAGATAAGCTAAAGAAAAATCATAGGTACCTGGAGTTGAGCCATATTATTAGGTTACAAATTAAAGGTGAAACAACTTAGCTAATAATAGTACGTTCACAAGTTATAGTGTAGAAACTATGTTACGATTGTCGACATAACAATGATATATATAGTGTGGCAAAGGAACCGTGAATAAATTCCTTGTGTATTGCAAGTGAATCCTCCTTGTATTATTGATGAAGCCGATTATTCTAGTTCTAGATTAAACGTCAATATACAGAATCTACAAATATAGAGCCAGTAACATCAACAATTTAATTTGGAAATATTAACGTTCTCCTTCTTATACCTTAGGTTACCCTATCTAGCTAACACAACTTTTGGCCTGCTTTTATTTAGCACAAACTTTTAAAAAAAACCACATGTATAATAAATATTATACATCCGTCAAATAATTGTCCTAAAATGATTAAATGTTACCCCAAATTAAATAAAAGGTACCCTACTTTGATTTAAATAAAAGTAAGTCATGCTTTACCTATAATTACCTTCTTTAAATCAGTAAACATCAAATTTCAATGCGTGAAACTAAGAAAATCACCCTATAAAACTTATTCCATTGTTTATATACTTTAAATCATACCAGGTTGAAAGTTACCGAAAAAAAGTTAAAATTACCTCAAATTAGCTACAAGTTACCCTAAAAATCTTTGATGTACACTAATTTATTGTAAACCGGGTGCACAGAAAAGTTTTTGTGATCAACAAGAACATATTCTTTTTTTTTTGTTTTGGGGTGGCGGTGGAGGAACAAGAACATATTCTACTTAAATTTGATAGATTTGACTAATATTGTAGGATATTTCTTATCGCAATGGATTCTTTTATTCATAAAATTGACAGCGTCCAAACCATTCCCAATACTCATGGAATGTACTACGCACTAGTCATTTCACCCCAAAATTATTTCCATGTTATGATTAATATAAAATTAATAGTAATCCAAACATGAAAGTATCGAAATAAATAAATAAATAAATAAATACTTGTAATGAAGTTTCTAGGCATGCAAATTCATGACTTTAAAAAAGAAAAAGAGAGAAAGAGTATAATTCGACAAGAAAAATATGCTCCCTTCGTTTTCTTTTTGTTGTCCCATTTGGAATCTTAGATTTGAAGATTTAAAATTCCTTTGTTGTGGTAATGGTACTTTTTCATTTTTGGCCATTAGCGTTTCACGATTTAACAACCATGAAAAAACCACCATATTGCCCAGCAAACTTTTCCATATATTTTTATTAAATGGAAAAAAAAAAAAAATTGTTCATATGTATTATTTCCAAAAAAAAAAAAAAATAACACTTTTAATTTGATACGTGCAACTCTCAAAATTAAAATTTGATGATCCAGTTCAACTCACGAAATCTGGATGTATAGTATAATAAACATTACTTGAATTGCGTTCAAAACATGCAATTTTTTATAAGGAGAATCTTGATTAATGATTACTCCAGAAGTGCTTGAGTCAATGGATAATGCAACTTTTATCTCAGAATAATATACATAGTACATCCCTCGCATATGGGTAAGGGTTAGATAATGCGTGGTTGTAAATGTTGGGATACTTCATTTATTTATATTTTGAAAAAAATTGTTATAAATCAACTTTTATGTCATTTTCACGTGAGATTACCTATACATTTATTTAAATTTAGATTTAAAACATGATGATAAAAAATAATTATACAAAGTAAGAAGCAACAAGATTTACCCTACGTATCAGGCATTATGTAAAATCCTCCTACCAAGTATGACAAATAATACAGATACATATGTTCAAAAGCACTAATATTTATTTTATAAATACTTGATTATTAATGTCAGATTTTGGGCCTCTATCTAGAGTTGTGTGACCCTGTTCTATGCCTATTTGCACAGCCTAATAGTTGGCCCTAATGTTGAAACCTAAACTGAAAATACTTCTCTGTTAAAATTCAGATTTAATTGCACATCTACTGAAACAAGTTGTTGATTATTACATCATTGAGGGACACGTGTAAGGTTTTTTTGAAATTATATCCCGCCTAAATACTTGGTAAATTACATCAAATCTTTTATTTTAATATACCTATTCGTTTGACATCATATGTATCTTCGCCCAAATACAATTAGTAAGTTAATGGGTTCACTCGTCCATGAAGCTAGTAATCAATGGCTACATTTCTGTTTTCTTAATTTTATTGTAAGCCTATGTAAGTATATATATATATATATATATATATATATATATATATATATATATCACGAATTGAATATTTTATTATTAGGGGGTGAAATAACTTAAGTGCGTTATAATAAGAATTGAGAAATGTCCTACAAGCAACTAGAATATGTTCTTGTGTTTTTTTTTTTTTTTTTTTTTTTTTATTATTATTATTTTTTTTTTTGACATCAGAATTAAACATATCAATATCAAGTAGAATATATTCTTGTTTATCTAGATTAAAGCTGGCTGGGCCAATTAGGGGGTGAAATAACTTAAGTTCGTTACAATAAGAATTGAGAAATGTCCTACAAGCAACTAGAACATGTTCTTGTTTATTTTATTTTTTTGACATCAGAAGTTAAACATATCAATATCAAGTAGAATATATTCTTGTTTATCTAGATTAAAGCTGGTCGGGCCAAAAGTTGTGTTACCTAATATATTCTTGTATAAGAAGGAGAACGTTAATATTTCCAAATCAAGTAGTTGATGTTACTGACACTATATTAGTAGATTCTGTATATTGACGTTTAATCTAGAACTAGAATAATCGGCTTCATCAATAATACAAGGAGGATTCACTTGCAATACACAAGGAATTTATTCACGGTCCCTTTGTCACACTCAGGGCCGGCTAAGGGCCTGTGCAAACAGACCTGTTTGGGGGTTTTTTATGTGTCCTACGGGAGAGTTACAATTTCCTAGAATGCTCCTTCCTTCGCCTGTACCTGCACAAATAACGGAATACTCCGGGTGGGGCTGGGGTGTTCCGCCTCCGAAGATTAAGTTAGTCTCTTTCTAAATGTGGAAATAAGGCAATAAATGCTTCTCGATTTGAGAGCATTTGTAAGGGGATTTGTGTTTTGTTGGTTTGTGGGAAAATGATTCGATCCCCATTAATGAGGTCTGCCCTTACTATTTATAGTAGGGAGAACTGTACCTCAATTAGGGTACAATGACACGTGTCGCAAAGGGATTGGGCCTTTGCTGACCGTTGCAAGCTTGACACGTGGTAGGCCTTTACTGGGCCACATGTCTTAGGGTATTTTTACCCTAAACATCTGCCCCTCACAGGTGTGACGTGGAATGTCCACATGTCACCTGTGACTAGTGTCAGACGCATGGGAGGAGACGGTTCGTCTCCTTCCCTCCTTTTTTCAAATTTCAAGTTTTTAGGGCAGAAGGCATCGTTTCGCCTTCTGCTCCTTCTATAAATACAAGACACGCTCTCTCTCCTCCTCACTTTACATATTTTTCAAAAAATTTCTGAGCGCGCTCCGCTACCGGCTGCATTATTTCCTTAGTTTTCCTTCATCCGGCATTTTCAAATTACGCACATCCGGCGACCGGTTGGGTTCCCTTTCTTCAGTATCTAAGGTACCGGCTGTCCTTTTTCTTTTTTACTTAGCTTTTGACGATTTCAAACATTTCAACCCATCCGGGTTTCATGCCGCCTGGGGGGCCTTTAACCCATATCCCATTTCTTGAATCTTCTCCCTCAGCCGGCATAGCCCCATCTGAGGGGTTTTCAACTTTTAAACACTATGCATTCTAAACACCCCCATCCGGATTATCACCGTCTGGGGGGTGTTTGAACCTTCAATAAATTTATCCTTTAACACCGCCTGGGGTAATTCTGAGTTCATCAAGAAATGATTTCAAAAACCCCAACCGGTTTGGATTTTTCAAAGTTTTTAAGATGCGCTCAATGCACCCCCATCCGGCATTTTACCGCATGGGGGTGGTTTGAGCAGCCTTGGCTTTCTCAAACATCATTCAAATAACCCCCATCCGGTATATAACCACATGGGGTTGGTTTGAGCAGCCTTGGCTTTTTCTCAAACATCATTCAAATAACCCCCATCCGGTATATAACCGCATGGGGGTGGTTTGAGCAGCCTTGGCTTTTTCTCAAACAACATTCAAATAACCCCCATCCGGTGTTTGACCGCATGGGGGTGGTTTGAGCAGCCATGGCTTTTTCTCAAACAACATTCAAATACCCTCCATCCGGTATTTGACCGCATGGGGGTGGTTTGAGCAGCCTTGGCTTTTTCTTAAACAACATTCAAATAACCCCCATCCGGTATATAACCGCATGGGGGTGGTTTGAGCAGCCTTGGCTTTTTCTAACAACATTCAAATAACCCCCATCCGGTATTTGACCGCATGGGGGTGGTTTGAGCAGCCTTGGATTTTTCTCAAACAACATTCAAATACCCCCCATCCGGTATTTGACCGCATGGGGGTGGTTTGAGCAGCCTTGGCTTTTTCTCAAACAACATTCAAATAACCCCCATCCGGTATTTGACCGCATGGGGGTGGTTTGAGCAGCCTTGGCTTTTTCTCAAACAACATTCAAATACCCCCCATCCGGTATTTGATCGCATGGGGGTGGTTTGAGCAGCCTTGGCTTTTTCTCAAACAACATTCAAATACCCCCCATCCGGTATTTGACCGCATGGGGGTGGTTTGAGCAGCCTTGGCTTTTTCTCAAACAACATTCAAATACCCCCCATCCGGTATTTGACCGCATGGGGGTGGTTTGAGCAGCCTTGGCTTTTTCTCAAACAACATTCAAATAACCCCCATCCGGTATTTGACCGCATGGGGGTGGTTTGAGCAGCCTTGGCTTTTTTCTCAAACATCATTCAAATAACCCCCATCCGGTATTTAACCGCATGGGGGTGTTTTGAGCAGCCTTGGCTTTCTCAAACATTCAAATTGTACCCATCCGTCATCTAACCGTATGGGGGTTGTTTGAGCAGCCTGTAGCTTTTTCTCAAACATACAAATAGAGTCCATCCGGATTTTAACCGTATGGGGGTCTTTTGAATGATTCCATTTTATATATCTGATCCATTTTTCTTTATTTCAGCTTTAAACACATTCGGAGACTTCCACCTGTGGGGGTTTCAAGCCATCATCTTAATCCAATCTCAATTTTCTAAGGTACCGCCTGCATCCCATACTTGTCACATTCTTTTATTTCCGGTTGCATAGCATTAG